TTGAATGTCTTGGAACTAGAGTCAGAGATACTTATGATCTCCAAATGGATGCTGAGAACTAACCATACCCGGGTATTCTGTAAGGAAGCAAATACTCCTGACCCATCTGTCACTCCAGCCCCTTAGTGTTAGCTTTGTGATGATTCTGTGATTCAGCCCCTCTGTCATCTCTCTTCCTCCTGCTTACCTCCTCCTGAAAGAGAAATGTGTTAGGTGATGTTTACAGAGTTTTCTTTGCTTTTGACCCTAAACTAATTGATCCAGAAGATTTTATTCACCTGTAAACATCCAAAATGTAATGCCTGTGATTAATAATTGTAGATGTTGGTAGTTTTTCCGTATCATTTTATATCTCAAAATAATTGAGTTGCCATAAAATACCTTAGAAGTGTCAATGCAGAGAGATCTTTTAGTAAGCGATGTCTTTACTGCACCTGTTCCTGTGTGTGTGTGTGTGTGTGCACGTGTGCGTGTGCGTATGTGTGTGAGTAATTACAGGAAACGAGATCAAATGTGGTGGAAACTCAAGTTTTTGGTGCCAGAATAGCTTCTAGAAAGGTGGAGGAAATATGAAAGCAATAGCATTGAGGAGAGTATTTCATGTTTTGGGGAATGGCTAGAAGACCCAGAGTGAGACAAGAATAAGGAGCATGACATGATCCCCGAAAAACTCAGAGCCAGGTCATATTGGGGCTTTGTGGGCTGTGGTTGGCACTGTAGGTTTTATTCTAAGTTAAGAAGCTAGCAAGAACATTGAACAGATAGCTATGTATATTTATTTAGCTGCTATGTGGATAAATGTAGGATGAGGCAAAAGGCGATAGTTGATTGAATCATGGTGCCTTTGGAGGAAGTGATGAACCGTGAGATATGGATAAATCTAAGAAAATAGGTAACAATTTTGCACCTTCTGGATTTCTGATGAAAGACAGTGATATTCATACTGTATGGCAAATTGAAAGCTGACAATGGCCTTGTCTTATTTGAGAGAATTTATCTAGGCAGGGTCTTGATAGCCTCTCACTCTTCTTTAGACACCAGTTAGTATTTCCAAAGAGAAACTATGATAGAATAATAAAAGCTAACAGCAGGGACCAGCATAGAGTCTCCTAAATAAGATGTTGCTGTAGCCCAGCCAGGACAATCTCAGGCTGCTGCTGTCAAGCTGCCTTTCTTCCTTTTCTAGAAATCTGCTTGTCTTGGTTACCAACACAGGACTTTGGTGGAGTTGGTGATACTGCATGTCTTTGCTTGACCTTGGCGTTCAAGTTTGCTATGGAAAGTTAGTGGGAAATGCAAGCAGACAAGCATGTAGATGGGGCTCTGTTGGGGAGAGGCCCTGCTGAACCTCCAGATGGAGGTCATCTCCCCACATCTGCACTCCTCATTATGGAGGCAGCTGCTCTCCCTGAATGTTAGCCTCCTCAAGGGATGTTTGTCCTTGATACTCAGTGGCTCTGTTGCTTAGAATCCAAAAGTTCTATGATTTAGGTGTAGATAGCTTAAAGATAATTTTATTTATTAAAAAAATTGTACGTAAATATCAAAGATAGTTCTTTGCAGTCACTAAGCAGAAGCACCTGGCACCCATTCACACCTTCAGAGCAGTTGATGACCTATTGTCTCAAGATCTAATTGAAGCATAATTTTAAATAAAGAACCTTGAACACTGAATTCCATCTTTTTAAATTTTTTTTCAAGTGTGTGTGTGTGTGTGTGTGTGTGTGTGTGTGTGTGTGTGTGTGTGTATGCATGCATCTGTCTTTCTGTGGATCTGTGCACATGAGTTGCAGGTGTCTGCAGGTCCTGGAAGAATGTACTGCATTCCTTGGATCTGGAGTTAAAGAACGTAAGCCAGGATGTTTTTTGAGTCCATTTTTTGTTAGCCTATTCTTCGAAGTGAAAGGAATAATTACAGAAGTATAATTTCTCCAAACTCTATGAAACACATTTACATCCTGGCTGTGATTCCTAAGTTCTAATATGAAGACCCCAGAGTCTGAGTTTTAAAGTGAGTTTGCCAGAGAAGCACTGTGCTGAGGTTTCTTCATCATCTCCACATCGTATTTACTGTTTACTCGCTGAGTTGCTGTGCAGCTTCGTGGTGTCCTGTCATGATAATTCAAGTGAGACTTTCAGTTGTGCAATCAATATAGTACTTTTTTTCTTGTTTTTTATTTGAAATTAGACTTTTGGGGAAATTAATAGCAAAAGTTTCTTACAAGTAATACAAACAACTAGTCCTTTGGTAAAAGGGACTTGGAAATGCTGATCCAGATGCTGGAAAACCAGGGGATTAAGGTTGTGGTAGCTTGCTGTTCCTCCTTATCCTAAGACACTGATCCATAAAAAGCATGACTCTCTGCTGCGTAGTGTTTTGGTCTTGACACAAGCTATAGAGAGACTCTTTAGTGTCACTAATGTATACAGTGGCTTTCTCTGATAACTATTTCTATGAAATAGTATACCTTCATATTACATTCATTTTTACCTATGAATAAGTCAAAACTTAAGGTAGTTTATAGTGAAGATAGCTGAACTCAGGTATTGAACAATCTCTTCAAAATGGCTAGGTGAGTAATGATGCCAGAATTCAGATGCAAAATTCTGACTCCAACTTCCTGTGTAAACTGACTCCAGTGAAGCAGGATAGTATTGTAAAGTTGAATTTTTGTCAGTTATATAATTTAGTAAGCTGCTAAGAGTAATAGGATGACTTTCCCAAAGCTCTCATTGTAACTTATTTTGTGAGGTATATTTTTTTCCTCTTCTCATAGTAACCTCAGCACTCATCATTTGTGTTAGGAGAAACAAGTGCCCACTCTTGAGTGTGCCTTGACTTCTCTTTTTGAAAATAGTAGATGTGATGGTGTATACCCATAAGCTTTAGCCTTGGAAGGCTGAGACAGGAGACTCTATTAGTTTAAGGTTTCCCTGAACTGTGTAGTAAGTACCAGGTTAGCCTGGGATACAGAGTGTATACAGAGAGGAGTGTATACAAATATATGCATACGTACATGTGTGCGTGCGCACACACACACATATACTAAAACCAAAAAGCTTCTGTGACACTCTCTACAATAAAGGCTGGCTCAGAAAGGTTGGCTTGACTACAGGTAGTTGCCTGAATTGCTCCCATAGTTCTGAAAATAGGAAGTCTGTAAGGTCTGATAAGACAGAGCCTGAAATAGTTCCCCTCTGGTGTATGATCTGTGAGGGAATTTACTGTCACAATTTAAAATATTTTTCTCTATAATGTGGAAAATACTAACTTGGGTGAAGTTTGACCTTTTACACTGTATTAATAGATCACCTGAAAAAAGAAATCAATGCTGCCAAGCCACTCAGTGATGAAGGAGATGAGGCTATAAAGCCCAAAGTTAAATCCACCCACCGTGTAACTTTCCTGTTACTTACTTGGCCAGCCACATTCTGCTGGGGAGAATCGAGCTTATTAACAACAGCCAGGAGTGTGGGATTTTGAGGTCTTCCAACACTTTTGTCTGTACTGTTCTGCATGAAGGAAGGCCACCTCTGCTCATTCATATCAAACTTGCGTGTTAGTACAGTCTGGGATGTGTTTGCTTGCCAGTCACATACAGAATGACAACAGCAAATGTTTTTACAATTAGCAATTTGTAAAAAAAATGATACAAGTGAAAATATAGTTTCTGAAGTGTTACTCAAGTCATAAGAAAATATTTTCTCTTCTCCAAACTCATTTTCTTTTTATAATACTGGAAAGCCTCCTACAAAATACATACTGAGAAATGGAGTTGAATCCGTTAAACTCTTCAGTATTAGCACAAGGCAGTTTTTAGGCTCTTTTCCAACTTTTGTATGTAATTTATAGCTTAAAAATGAATTCAAGTAGACAAATCTTAGCCAAAATAGTATTACAAACTATGTTTTTCCCCTTTATTGCTATGCTCTCTGTCCCCATTTCCTCCTATTTCATCTCCTAATACTAGGAGCTCATTAAGCACAACTTCTAAGTGGTAATCAAGCATGCCAAAGTTTTCACCTTCTTCAGCATCACACCATTAATACTCTGGCACAGATAGTGAACTGAATATAGCAACAAAAGTACTGAGTGAAAATACATCAGGGAAGGAACAGTATTCCAGGCTCATGGGGGAATTTCCATGGGATGGTGTTTGTTACTAAAGAACATTAATAATTAGAGGAAGATAATTCTTCACTATGAAAAATGAAAACAAAATGCCACAGAATGAGGACTGAGCTATATGAGTTACATGAGATCTGTCTGACTAGCTTCTGTAAAGGAGTCTGTGAAAGGGGTTTATTAAAGAAACAATACAACCATCATCATATGTGAAAAAGGAAATATAGACAGAGGTAATAGATGGACCTTGATGACGAAGCTTATAGGACACTGTGAGAAACATGTGCATGAAAAGCTTTGAATATATAATCTGATTTGTATTTACAAGGATTCTTTGTCTTTTCTCTACAGATTAGACTAGAGATAATATGTTTCAAATACAGTAGAATTTTTGAATGTATTTAACACAGCTGAAAGATGACTAAGATTTATGCCAGATATTTTTGGCAGAAAGGTGTTAAATCATGTGATTATGGGTAGTTTGAGGGTCTGCTTTACCCCACTGATTGGACATGAAATCTTTGAACTATATGTCAGGTGAACTCCAAGGTGTTTTTATTCTGATTTAGTGGAATCTAGTTCTATGCTGAGATGAAGAATACATGGGGCTGGACCATGGCCAGGAAACAGAGCTTAATGGTAGTTTTAGTGGGTACAGTGCCCACCCACTCAAATGACACACTTAGACCCTTGCATTCATGTGTCAGGGGACCATAATCACACTGGAATTCTGTAGCTATCGTGCTTCTTTGTATGTCTCTTATAAGGCTAGAGTGACTTAAGAATCCAAAAGAAGTATGGCAACAACTAAAGGTAGGGTTGACATCATCAGTTGTTTAACCTTGTTGTATCACGCATGTTTGTATTTTACAAGGATAAAAGAAAAATATTGATTTGGCATGGAACACCACTGAGAATCAGAAGTCCTGTGATAATGTTGTGGCTTGAGAAGTGACATGGAATAATGATATCTTTGAGAGCTAAAGAGTATGTATTGAAGGAAATCTAATTAAGATGAAAGCTGGTTGCAAAGCCTGTTAACAGAGCTTCAGGATGGACATAATGAAATGCAACAAATCTGAACTGCTGCTAAGAATTCCCAACAAGACTCAGTGGCCTGGAATGTTGACCCACTACACGGAGATAGACTTCCTGGGAAATATTAGATTGTTGGATACATTTATAGGACAGGAATCACTCTTCAGTAAATCTCTTTTTGTCACAGTGCAATCCACCTTACTCTGCCTGGTTTAAAATAAGAAACTACATACAGACAATGTTTGAGATAAGAAGAACATGAACATAAGAAAGAATAAGTTAGAGATATTTTATCATATGAGGGTTAAATTGCCAAGAATTGTGTGGAATACATGGAGAAGATGGAATTGAGCCAGGAGACACACAATGATCACAAAATAGGTGACATAAATTGTGTAGATAATTGCTGAAATATTGCAGGTTTTTTTCGTCATTGTTGTTGTTGTTTTAGAAAAATACAAGCTTTGGTTTCATTTCTGTCTGATATTTACTTGAGCCCCAAAACTTCTCAAATAGTCTATTTTAAAAAATATAATTTTTCTGAAGGCATGTGCACTACAATTTGAAAATCTGCATTGTACATCTTGGGATAAGTTAATTCTGTTTGCTAAAACCTTGTGATTAATTAGTCACATGTCTGATGTGTGGTACAGTCATGAACAGAGATGGAGAGAGCCTGGTTTGCATTCACCTACCTGTTCTGCTTGTATGGGTCCCTTATGAAGAGCTTTTGCAGGTTTAAGTAGAATCAGTATGTGTGTTCAAGCTTTTGAGGTATTTACCTTTTTTATTTGTTTTTGTTTTTTATATTTACTCTTAGGTTTGAGTATTTTTGTTTATTTGTTTGTTTTTTCTGTACAATTCTGACAATGTATACAAGCCCATGTTGTCCAAAAAGAGGTGATACCTTGGGAGGAGAGGTAAGGAAAGAGTCGGGATGAGGAGTCACAGGACGTAATGAATGCTTTCAATATCTTCATGGTGGTTTCTGACAGGCCACACTGATCCATTTTCCTTTATTTTCTCTGTGTCTCCATCATCATCTGGTCTCAGTGTGATAATATATTTATCTAATTTTTTGTCTAAGGACACCAGTGATTTTTTTTTTTTGGGTTTTACAAGACAGGGTTTGTCTGTATTGTTTTCGAGGCTGTTAGTCCAGCCCAGCCTCGAACTCACAGAGATCCGCCTCCCGAGTGCTGGGATTAAAGGCATGCGCCACCACCGCCCGGCGACACCAGTGATTCTTAATTTTGACTCACCCTAATGATCTCAATTTGATTGCTGCTATAAAGCCCCATTTGCAAAGAACGTCATAGAGTCACTGAAGGCTACATTTTAACAAATTCTCTTTTTATAGATCAAAACTAGTAAACAGAAAAAGTATACTACATGTTCAACAGATAGTGTAGATACTTATTAAGAAAAGTTATATAAGAATGTTCTGAAACAACTTGTTTAGTTACTGTTCAGTTGCTATGAGTAAGCACCATGACCAAGGCAACTTACAAAGAAAGCATTTCATGGGGGCTTCCTAACAGTTTCAGAGGGTTAGTCCATGATTTTGGCAGGAAGCAGGCAGGCATGGTGCTGGAGCCATAGTTAACAACTTGATATACTGCTGCACAGGCAGCAGGCAGAGAGGCTGGACCTAGCATGGTCTTCTGAAACCTAAAAACCCACCCCAGTGAAACACCTCCTCTGACAAGGCCACACACCTCCTAATACTTCCCAAGCAGTTCCACAAACTGGGGTGCAAACATTCAAACATGAACCTATGGGGACCATTCTGACTCAAACAACTACTCTTACCATCTGACATTGCCCAGAGAATACTGTGGATTAACTGTGTGTGCCACTGATATAACAACAATGTCAATGTAACTTTCAGATCGATTTGCATGGCCAGAATCCATTAATTGGTGTGACACATCATGATGCAATTAGGAAATTTCACATTAATGTCAAAAATCGTGCTGTAGCAAATAAATATAATTACATTGCTATAGATTACAGGTGCCCTGTATATCTCAATAGCAGAGTGGATTTGTGAACAGGCTTCAGCGTAGGTGATGCACATCAGTCACTAGAGCCTTGAATCCATTATATGTTGACCCTGGCTCATAAGGTAGTTGAATTTTAATATGATCTTGCTTAGTGCTATAGGTAAATGATTCCCTGCCTTTCAAGGTTTTAATTTGAGACATAACTGTGGGGGGAAAAGACATGTGAAAATATACATTAGACAGTTGCTTTCCTCACTATAATACCTCTGGGTTTAAACTGTGTTACTGTTTTTATTCTCTGCCTGTAACCCTAGATTGATAACCTAATTAGTGTACCAGAAACACAGTCATGGAAACATCTTCTCCAGGAGGAACAAACGAACTCCTCTGCATTTAGTTTCAAATTCTTTCCTGTCAGTACAGCTCGGTTTTCGAAGAGCACCTGACACCATATGATCAATGATCCTGATCAAGTATCCTGTCAAAGAGAGGCACAAAATTGATTATAGGATGTCCCACTTCTTTCAGAACCCAAACACTTGTGGGGAAAAGGCTAAAATAATATGAAGGTGGATGTTGTAGAATTCACTGACTAGATATCCCAAAGCTTTTGGGTAATTTAAACTTAAAATAATGTGTAGCTTCAGGATGACACCAATAGACAAGCTAAATCGGACAGGGGAAAGCTTAGGACACCTCAGCCCTAGACAGTGGGAAAATTGTAAGTTAGAGAAATATCATCTTTCCCAGGGAAGAGCACACAGATTGGATATCCAAAACCAAATCGTCAGTCCTGAGATCATACATACAAGTCACATAGACAAAGCAGGTTGCATTTATTTATGTACATATATAGACACATACACAAACACAATTAAATTTTAAAAAGCCATGAATGTGGAAGAAAGCAAGGGCAGTGAAATACATGCAGATGTTGAAGCAAGGAAAAGAAAAGGGGAAATGATGTAACTGTAATCTCAAAAACTGAAAAGAAACTATTTAGAATGTGAGGTCAGTTTGTTTTAGGACCTGATGCAGGCTTTCGAATTCTGGGATTTTAATGCATTCAGATCACTCTAAGCCTGCTGTGCATCCTGTGAATCATCTATTGTGCCACTGGAATTGCAGCCTGCTCCTGAATGTGCAGGTGCATGGCTTAATTGAGATAAATGACTGTGGGGTGTTCTGGAAGTTCTGCAAGTAAGTATGAGTAAAATGGAGTAAGATGTAAGACTCAGTACAGTAATAGCCCAAGGAAAACTAGTCATGGTTGCTGAGGTATACTAGGGCTCAAGGATAGTAGGAATATAAGGAGCCTGAACTTAATTTAGGGATTGTCCAATATTCATGTAATAACATATATATATACATATTCATATATATGTAATAATTTTACACTCAGTATCTGATAGGCATTGTTGTAAAGGTGTGGACAGTAGATCTTTAATTAAAACAACCCATTGGATTTGAGTGTTTTTTGTGTTCAAATGAAGAAAAATAAAACTGATTCTTTAAGTTGTCAAAGCTGAGAAGTTTCATTTTAATACTGTGATGGGATTGGTGGGTGTGGTCTTGGTATGTTGTTCACACTGTAGTAATATATAAGATTGTGGGGTATATGGGGACTAGAATTCAGCTAGCCACACAATTAGTGTGAGAGGAAAGTGAAGAGAAGATGACAACTCATTATTGTGGTGCTGTTACAGGCAGGGATTGTGTCCATACAAACTGAGTTGTGTAACCTCAGTGTGGGTAGAGTTTTGAATGCATGCCAGAAGCAGCTGTACACATACATAGCCTGCTGCCCAGGGTGTTCTGACCCTGACAAACTTCTCTAGTTACACATGTACTGAGTGTCTCAACTGGGATTCCCCCAAATTGACTTCCAAGACTATTGTATGTGTGCTATGGATTTTAAATCGCTGTAGACACAACAGCAGCAGAGAGGTACAAAGCCACCCACAGCTCTCCCACATTCTGACTGAAAGAAAATCAGGAAGCTCAGTCAGCCTGGGTATTTCCTCATGAAGCACTCCTCAGAGGGAAAAGGAAGGACATCACTGCTCTGAGAATAAATAATCCCAACAGAAAATTGAATCTTAAATAAAATACATAAAGTAAGTAAATGTATTCTGATTTAGTTGACTGTCATTTTCAAATGTAAATTTTTCTTGAGACAGCACCTCATAAATCCCAGACTGAAACTCTAAGGCATGTGACTAGTGCTGAACTAGAAGTCCTAATCCTCCTACTTCCCAGCCTGACTGACATGTACTAGGGTTTAGCTGTGCATCACTGTGCCAGCTTGCCATGCCCATTTTTTTAATTCAGGAATTTGGTGAAATACATGAACATGTTAACATTTTATTTTCCCTTTTGGTATCATGAGTACACCAGAGTTAGCATTGTTCCTTAGATTTTAATGTAGGAGAAAGAACAGTAAGTATGAGATACAGCCAGTTATAGTGGATAAGACCCAAACTCTCTAGCATGTATTTTATCAGTTATTTGATAATGGCTATTAATGTTACTATAAATTAAGTTTTGATTTCATAATTTGGTTAATTTCTTTCTAATTTACCCATTTCAAGATGTGAAGTGACTTGTATTTTCTTCTGGATCACAATTTATAGCAAATGTCCAGCTCACTTCAAATATAATTTCTGATGCCTCCAAAGCTCACTGAGGAACCTGCTTATGAGACAGGGAAGGATTAAATTTATCACATAGTAACTCTTGACATGTTTGTAGTTAATCACTTTTTGGGCAGCCTCCTCAGAGTACCAAGGTCAGCATCCCCATTTTCCATTGTTATCCTGTGATCACAGGATCTGGTGGCAGCCTGGGGCTCGTATGTTGGAACATAGGGACATACGCTGATCCACACCCTGTGTTTTTGTTCAGAGGGCCAAGGCAAGAGGATCTCTGAGTTCCAAGTCATCTTGGGGTATAGAACAAGATCCTATCTCATACAGAACAAAGCACAAGACAACAAAAGATTTTTAAGATTATATTGTGATTGCAAACCTTGACAAAGGAGGGTGGGTAGAAAGTTAACCGATGATTGAATTCTAGGTGATGGGACGTTCAGATTAATATTGACTGCAGTTTTGAGTGACACCATTGGTACTTTGATAAGAACTAGAATTAAGATGTTATACAAAAGAAAGTTAAAACAGACAGCCCAACTTTTGTTATTGAGATCTCTTCAAATACAAACTACCCATTGTAAATTACCAATCCAAAATGGCAAAGGTTAGGCTGTTTTACTGTTATTGATGTTTTCCAAACACATAGTCAATGATAAAAAGAAAAAAAAATCACCATCAGAATTATTTTGTAACACTTTAAAAACTCTCTTCTGAAATCACTGTAATTTGACATTGGATTAGAAAACTTGGCCAGTAGGTTATAATGCATCAAGACCTTTATAAAACAATTCCTGCTTAATTGATAAGTACCATCCCCAAAGCAATCCTCTCATCTATGTTCTTACTAACATGAGCACTTCTATGCCTTCATCACTATGGTGGGTTGAAATCCATCTGAAATGATGAGTCAAAGTAGATCCTTCCCCAACACTCAGGCAGAGGCACGAACATCTCCACCAATTTCAGATCAGTCTACTCTAGTTAGGTATTTCAGAGCCAGCCAGTACTTCATAGCAAGACCCATCTGAAAAACAGTTCACAACAGCAAGGGAAAGCAGAACCAAAGTTAGTCTTTCCTCCTTGACGATGTTTCATCACAGGGATGAGAGAGTTAGTATCCACAGCATTTTTACCTGCAGAAACTGACCATGGAGTTTAGTGTCTTCATTAATAATCACTGAATTCACAATTTGAATCCACATCTTTCTATTAACTATTGTCTATTCTATTAACTATTGTGTAATAAAGTTTTAGGAACTCAGTGTAAATGCTCATTGATAGAATAGGAAAAATGCTGTATTTCAACTTGAAAAAACACACGTGGCTATCAGATCACGCAATGTCCTTGTAGCACGCTGGATTCTTTATAGTGTATTTAAAATTCTGTCCCGTCTCTCCACTTCAACCAGTGACCTCTACTGGAAAGGGTCGGTCTACAGTCTGGTTAGTGATGTGGAAGTTCAGCAATTAAAGGTGTGTCCTTATAACTGCAAACCTTTGGAAAGTGAAAAGGTTCAGAAGAATCTACAAACAGCTAGAGTAATTCTTTTAGTTTGAACATTTGTGGAGCTAAGTTTCAAAATCAATATTGCGTGATGATTTAGCATTTTGCAGGAACACAAGTTGTAACCAAGATCAATATGTAAAGGGAGAGGGAGTGAAGGGAACGAGGTTGGGTGAACTCGCGGCCACAGACACTGATACATGGTTTTCTTTCATTGTTTTTATGGAATTATATTTTAGAGCATATGTTAATATATTATCATGCTTTTACCCAAATGGTTAGTAAAAAGTGCAGTTTATAAGTAGTAAGATCTAGTCTTTGAAAACCTTAAGGATCACAGTAATATATTCTCCATTCAGAGCACTTAAAGGTGTTATATTTGAGATTAAATATGTAAATTAAGTAAACCTACAACTGCTAATGAAGTCATTACCCCCCAAAAGGAAAGACTGTGACTACAGCTATTATTTAATGCTATATTTTTGCTGGACATTGAACACAGACTCGTTCACATATTAAGCAGATACCTACTACTGAGCTTCATCTTAGTTCCCAGATACCTACTTTTTGGTAGGCATATTTAAATAGTCTCTATTTAAACTCCAATACATCTTCTGTAGGACTAAATGCAAATGAATTATGTTACAGAGCAATGATTCAAAGTGAAACCTAGGGATCCACACATGTGTATACACATACATAGAAAATATTCATATAAACATAAAGTCATCAGCTTTTATGAAACACTGCCTCAGCTAAAGTCAAATGGATTCATGTCCCTTCTAAGTGGATATGATATATGTATGTAAAAACCTTAAGAAATCTGGTGTCCAGATGCAAGCTTCCTGTGGTTAGATGCAAAACCCTTCCTTGGCAGCTGGAGACACAAATGAGGTTAGGAAGCAGATGATGGTAATATATTAACTCAGCACAGAACTTCCTAACAGCCAGCTACTATAGCTCTTCCCATCACCCTGTCACCTACTGGGTTTCTGAATATGATAGAAACCTTTCTTCAAGAAGTTTCATTTCATTAAGTATAAAGGAAATGGCACAGAGACTCCCACACTTCTCATAAGCATGCCATTATGGCTGCCAGATGACCAGGGCACCTTTGGACAAGAGACCCACATTTCACATACTTCACATAGTCCACATACTGTGCTGCTTTTGTCAGTAGCCTTTTAGTCACAAAGGCACGCTGGCTAGTTTTAGGTCAACCTGACCCATTAGAATCATTTTGGAAGGGATTGGAGATGGCAAAAGCTCCCTCTAACTTCCTAACTTGGCCTGTGGACATGCCTCTAGTGCATTTTTGGGGGGGAGATTGATTGATGTAATGGAGTACCACTCACAGTGGTCAATACCACCACATGGTTCTGGGTATTGAACAGCTAGACGGAACAAGCTAGTGAGCAGCACTCTTCTGTGGCCTCTACGTCAGGTCCTGCTTTTACTCACCAAGATGCTGATCCACAAGCTCTAAGTTGAGATAAACATTTTCCTTCCAAGGTATTTTATTACTGCAATAGAAATCCTAACTAAGACAAGAAGTGGTACCAGAGATTATAGTGTTTTTCTGACAGTCCTGAGTGTGTTTTTGGTAGGTCTGTGGAAGGGTTTTGGAGCATTGGACTGGATAAGCAAGTGGCTACTCAGAGATCAGTGGATTATTCAGTGGGAGTTTGGAAGGTAAGAATGTTGAGAGTGATTCATTCAGACTTGGGGTATGAAGCTTCAGAAGGAAATTTTTAGAGTTTTCTTCAAGACTCTCCTGGAGCATTTATGTGAAGTTTCGTATCAAGACCCTGTGGTGTCTCATCAGTTGGAGATGAAGCATCAGCTGTGATGAAGAAGCCCCCAGTACTACTGAAGTAAATCTTTTGCTTTGCTGGGACAATGGATGCTATTCAGCTGGGACTAGAGAATTAGCTGTGATTAGGAAGAGACCAGCATCACTGAGGAAGAATCTTCTGGGAAGTGTTTCTTCAGGGTTAGCACATGGAGTATGTGATCCAAAAGTGGGGTAGGTGTGCATTGTGCTGGAAGCCAAACTTGGTAGTTTAAGAGTCCCTGATGTGGTACTGGTTTTTGAAGGCATGAAGGTTTCATAGAAAGAAACTGAGGTTTGGCACTGTGTGGATGGACCGAAGACCCTAAAGAGAGACTGGGACAGACTGTTGGTGACTATGCAGCCTCAGTTATAGTAAAAGGCCCAGGACTAAAGGGGTCTTGGAGAGAGGCTGAGCCTTTGCGTTCTGTGGCATGATTCAAGGCCCTGAAGAGAGCCCAGGAGAGACCATTGTTAAGTACCATCTGATTTCAGTGGAGACCAGAGCATGTTGGAGATACCAGTGTAATGGGCTACT